TTGATCTGTAAATAAAAAAGAAATTCAAAATTTTATTTGTTCTAATCGAAGAAGATACTTAAAATATATTTTTATTTAAAGTGAAATTAAGCATTAATTAATTAATTGCTATTTGTAATATAATATTAAACTAAAAATATAAAGACAACTTTAATAGTGTAGAAAGAAAAGCTCTTAAAATATATAGTTATTATATACAAAATTTAAACGCATGCTTTAAGAACAAGGTAAAAATTTTGTATATGCAAAATATATCATTCAAGAGTTCTTTCCGAAGTATTTATACTGTACAGGTTATACACATATATATATATATATATATATATATATATATATATATATAATAAATACTTCAGGGACAGTTCTCGAATTATACAATTCATATATACAATAGAAATTTTTACATTTAAGATCTTCCTTATAATAAACGCATACTTTGAAGACTATTATATTATATTATAGATTTGAGGGGATACTATTGTATTTTATATTATAATAAACGAATACCCATATTTCGGAGAGAGTTGTTTATATAATTCGCATATATGATGAAAATATTTACATTGTCTCTAAAATATTTGTTTAAATTGACAGTTTTCTGATAGCAATCGCATACTTAGAGGATTATATACAGAATGTTTGATAAAGATTGGACCAACGCTCATGAGTGGGTATAGAACATAGAAAATTGAACAGAAAAATCCTTTACCTTTTTGTAATTTTCGCAATAATTGAAATATTAATTAAAAAGATTAGTGAATGATTGCGCGTTTTGCGTGCCTAGACTGTGGAATGTGTCTTCTAGGACTCTAGATATGTCAGCAGGAAATGTCACATGAAAAATTTCATCGTGCATTTTTCGACTCTTGTTTTTTCATTATTGTGCAACTCATTGCTAGCACATCTAGAGAATATATATCCCATTTAGCTATGCAAAACGCGTGCTTACTTGCCGATACTTTTTAATTTATATTTTAATAGTCATTATAGAAACTGCAAAATTGTAAAAAACATTTTTGTCCAATTTATTGCGTCCCACTTACGGGCATTGATCTAATTTTTATCAAACATTCTGTATATAATCCTGTAAATATGTGGTTGCTATAAGGAAACTTTCAATTTAAATATGTATTGAAGACAATGCAAATATTTTCATCGTATAATTATGTAATTCAGGAACTCTCCTCGAATGCGTATTCGTATTATTATTATATATAAAATACAATATATTTCTCAAAGTATATAACGTAGCATAGTAGTCCTCAAAGGATGCAATTACTATAAGAAAAACTTTAAATTTAAATGCATGCATTTAAATGCATTTGAGGACAAGGTAAAAATTTCTATTGTGTATGTAAATTGTATAATTCGAGAGCTGTCCCCCGAAGTATTTATTTATTACATATATAAAAGGGTCTTCAAAGTATGCGCTTATTATAAGGAAGACTTCAAATTTAAACGCATGCTTTGGGGACAAGGTAAAAATTTCTATTATTTATATGAATTGTATAATGCGAGACCTGTCCCCGAAGTATTTACTTATTACATATATAAAAGGGTCTTCAAAGTATGCGCTTATTATAAGGAAGACCTCAAATTTAAACGCATGCTTTGGGGACAAGGTAAAAATTTCTATTATTTATATGAATTGTATAATGCGAGACCTGTCCCCGAAGTATTTACTTATTACATATATATAAAAGTCTCCAAAATATGCATTGTATATTAAAAGTTATGTAATTTCAGAATAATTGCCTTATAAAAAATTTGGTAATTGTAGATGTATTATTATAATTATATTGTATACAATTACGATAAAAATAAAAGATGTCTCAAATTATGCGTTTAACATACATATATATGTATATTCTCAATTTGGATATATGTATATTTTTACTTCTTTGTATTTTAAATAACAAAAAAAGTTATAAATATAAAATTACATATGTAATTATATCTCGAACCAAATCGCAAATTATAATTGTTTAAGGCAGTTTTTAATCAAAATAGATTTTTATATATTAAGTTAAAATAAAATTAGATTATCGAAATGTTGTTGTATAAAATAAAATCACATAACACAAACAAACTCACATAAAATAATTGAATTATTTTGAAAAACTATATACGGAAAATTGTAGAATTGGAAGGGGGGGGAGAAATGCTTTAAAATTGTGGGATGTTTTCTACTTAATAATCAATATTTTATTCATTTTTATTTAATGTATGTTGCTTTACATTATAATAATTAATCGATTGTACATTATAATAACTAATCGATTGATGTAAACAACACATAATGAATCTATCGATTAGCAATTATATATTATCACGAAGATGAATAACATCCTCGAACTCAATTAATTTAGAATTAATTTTTTGGAATTAATTATTTGGAAGAACATAAATCTTTTCAATTGCATCAAACAAATTGAATAAAATTCATATATTAATTTGCATACAAATTAGTGTCAAATAGGAAATATAATTATTTCAAATAATACGATATGTTTGGACGATATGTTTGGACGATATGTTTGGAAGTTTTCATTATTTTACACAATAAATTCTTGATAAAGATAATTATTTATGAAAATATATAATATAAAATATAGAATAGATATATTTTTTCACACTTCGTGATCGCACGCGAGGGATGGATTAGAGGAGAGAGGGAATTAAGAGAGAGAGGATCGTATTATAATTCACATATTTCTATAATTAAAATTAATTACAGGTATATAATTTGCAAACTTTGTAAAATTATATGTATTATAATGTGACCGACTCGAGCACGTCAAGTTTTTGTAAGTCGTTTTGGTCTTAATTTTTTTTAGTTCCAAATTTATTTGGAACTTATTTTGAAAATCATTTTTATTTTGTCGAGAATCTAATACATAAATGCAAGATTGAATTTGTGACAAATATTTCAAATTATAAATCCCTCTCAATTGCTTCAATGTACTTGACTAATTAATTATTGATTTCATTTAGTTCTGATTTTTTTTAGGAAAATTATATATATTTTTTGAGGGAAAATTTTTTTTTTTTATAAATTATTTATTATAAGGATATTTTTTAATTAAACGTTTTATTGCATATAAGGTGGAATATATTTATGTACTTAGCGTATTTATTTTACCTTTGTAAGGTATTTTTTGATATAAATAATATAAAAATTTATGAGTTATAATGCGACCCAGGCACGCCAAATTTTTATTTGTCACTACAGTCTTAACTCGTTTAGTCCAGGGTCTAATTTCAAAACAAAAAATTGTAAATATTTCGATCAATTTAGCATAGAACAGTTTTAAATACAAAATTAGCAATTGATGGCGCATTAAAGGTTAAATAAAGTTATAATTTACTATTTGCAAGAAAACCTATAACATAATAATGATATTTTATATATTATACAAAATATTTATCATGCAAAAATTAATTAAACTTTTTTTAAAAACAAATCTATCTGGATAAAAATAAAATGCACTTTAATTTTATGGAAAAAAATCAGTGTATAATGTTTCTGTAAATGTAAAATTAATTTTATGGCAAATATTACTTCAAATTACAATTAAAGAAGATCAGATTTTTTTCTTATCTTAATTAAGGAGAAGATCGATAAAATCAAGAATTAAATTTTCGAATATATTCTTAAGTTAAAATTGAATATTTAGATCGTAAAATTTATTCGGCAACATTATAATTATATTAATATTCGGATAATAATATTCATTTAATATTCATATTAAGTTTTTTCCATTTTTGCGATCGAAAATGATTCATTTATTAGTTAGTTTAATTTTTATCAAATAAATAAACGAAATGAAGTATAAAAATCTGCCCAATCGGATAACCGCAATCGGAATCAGGTCTCAGGAAAACAGCAATGAAAGAAAACGCGATTTGTTTGGTATCAAAATAAACTAAAATTATATACATCCTTTGATGTGTGTGTGTATGTTTAAATTTACAAGTGTGTATAAGTGCGTGTGTGAATGAGTAATACGTGCATGTGTATGATTTTATAAATGTGCGCAGTGTACGTAATTGTACAAGGGTGAATGCGTGTGTTAGAAGGCGATAATGCCCGTTGATCGATCGCAAATATTAAAATGCGTGTCGGTGTGATTACAGTTGCCGGAAACAATTATGATTAAAATTAAGAAAATAATATATTTCAAAATCTATAAATAAACAAAGTATTTGTATATAAAAAAGATAAAGTTGTTTTCACTTCATATTGAAGAGAAAAACGATATATAAAGAATGATATAAGAAATCATATAAGAAGATTGAATATAGATTTCAAAAAAAGTTTTATTATATTCATAAATTAAAATTAAAAATTTTTATGGTATAGTTTATACTATGGTATAGTTTATACTGTGCAAAGCCTTCGAATACTGATATTAATTTACTTCGACGGTTCTTCGCAGTTCCTTGCAAATTTCGCGATCATATACGATTTATTAGTTTATCTAATTTTTCTTAAATATTTAATTATAATAAATATAATATAATACTGTAACAAATATAAAAATAATAAAATTAAGAGCCAAAAAATGTCCATACGATTATAACTCTAATAAGAAAAATATGATCTCTCTCTCTCTCACTCTCTCTCTCGTTTTTGTTCAGCGCATATATATAAATAACGATGAAAAAGGCAAAAAATTTCATTAAAATAACATTGGAATAAGACCGTAAAATTATACATCTCAAAAAGGGAAGAAAGGTTGTCCAGAAATTCTTTCCAAAGAATTTGTCATACGTACCTGCTGCTATGGCCTACCTTTTTTGACCAGGAATCAAGACGGAGATGTCCTTTTTGTTCTGATTGGTAAAGCACATAATGTGAATCATTTCTAAAGAAAACGCACCTTTAGTCTGAACCTGAACGTGCAACATTCAACGAAATGCATGCGACGTGCATAGACGTGTTATAAGTAGGAGCAAAATTTGTGCGCACATATTCGTATATATATCGTATATAAGTATATAAACGAAATTAATGGTGCGAAAATAAATAATATCGGTTGCAAGATATTTTGTGAACCATTGAATTTTTTACGATGGCTACGGTAACATATTTGCCAGATGAAATAATTGCTACAATTTTGGAAAATAAGAATATTAGCATGGAGGATATCATAAATCTTAAATCCACATGTAAGAGATTGCAGCATATAACATTTAGCACCAAATTTTGGGAAAAAAAACTTTTTCAGAGGTATGATTTTAAATATTTTTTTATTAATTTTTTTATGTGTTTATTTCATATTTGGACGAATTTCTTCGATCAACGAACTTTCGTGAAAGTAATAATGAAAAAGTAAAATTAAAGTTATTACTTTGTTATCTTATTAATTTATATCGCGTTTGTTGCTTTTTTGTATATTGAGCTTCTAATGTTACAATTTAAGTCGATCGTAATAAAGGATCTAAATTTAGTAAAGCCAAAATTTTACGTCTAGAGGATCTACAAGTTATAATATATTTTATTAATCATTTTCAAGTTACTGTATTGATAATGATAGTTTACTATTATTCGAAATATATGACTCATTCTTACCGCAGATTATAATTACATCATTTCCTTGCATAGACTTTATTATTAAATTATAATCAGGTTCTCTTCTTTTATTATCGTCTTCAGTTATACCACGCTAAAAATATATTTTGACTTGAATCATTTCAAATTATTAAAAACATATGTTTAGAAATATAGTCTATTTACGTGTTTAGTAATTTTTTTAATATTTTAAAATTATCTTATTATGTAATTAAAAAAAACTCTATTTTATATCATAAAACATATATAAAACGAAATTAAATAAAGTACTGTCACAATTTTTCATATTTTAATATTAAAATTTGTAATAACGTGATTAATCAGTGTATGTCAATATCAATATTTATAAAGATATTTCTTTTACATTCTTTTATTTCAAGTACTTCTTGTATACTTCAATATTTATTTATATAATATTCTAATTAATTTTCATAAATGGAATATTTTAGAGTGGAATTCATAATGGATCTCATAATATTTTAAGAATTTTATTTTTAAAATTTTTTATTCAAACTTTATAGTTTTGAGAATATTATAAAACCTAGCCATATGTAATCAATTTTATCTATTTGTAGATTGTAAAAATACAATACTGTGTTATTCTAAAATATTTTATCAATTTTTATTTTTACCTTAATGGCTTGTGTAGATCTAAATATCTCTATACAATTATTTTCCATTTGATTTCTCATTTAAACATGATATAAAATAAATTAAAATTAAATAATGCAAGATTTTATCGCAGCACGTGCATCTCGATATTACAAGGTGATAATTATGCAGATATAAAGAGTCATTTTCGATTTCAATACTTTTCACATATGTTGTCAATACTCTGAGTAATGTTATAACGGTTTTAGCTCGCGTTAGTTGTTTATTAAGTTATCAACAAAAAGAGTTTAATAATTTTACGGCATACAACGGTTCTATAACGTAATTCAAACCGAATTGTAGCTTTTAATTAGAAATAAATTTGAGTTGATTTTATACCTTCCTGAAATAGAGTCTACGTAAAGGAGGGAGAGGGCGGAACCCACTGTGTTCACGCATGTACTTTGCAAGACAAAACAAAATTATTCTTATTGTTAGCAAGGATTAAAATTATATATATGGTGCCAAAAAATCATTAAATTAAATATTATTAAATATATTTTCGATAAAAGTTGTAGGATTCAGAAGGGGACATTTGATAATCACCTTAAATGAACGTGACAAGATCATATTGAGCTCAATCTTGTTTCTTGAAAATTTTACAGGGGCCAAAAAACTCGCTAAATGACCTTGCTCTCTACTTTTCATTTCATATTCTTGTAGTTCATCTCGACAGCTTTCCTAAATATTATAATAAAGTATTATTAATTGTGTCTTTTCTTTACACTAATTGATTTCTCATATTATTTTGTGCATAAAGGTATTGAGGTGAGAAAATTGAAAAATGAATAATTTACGAGATATTTTATGATTTATATAAAATTAAGAAATTACAAGTCTCATAACTCAAAAAATATTTAACAAAAAATTTTTTATTATATTGTTTTGGAAAGAACTCTCTATATATGTGCAAAAATGTGTAATAAAAAATATAAACTAATCTGATGTACTCCTGCAAACCCTACAACTTTTATGTAAAATATTTTTTCGTCCGATAACTTTCTGAGATGTAAATCGGGGTGCACAATTATAATACATCCTATATGTATGTATAATTAAAAATAGAATATATGTGTTTACTTTGAAAAACAAAAATTGTCTACAATATTTATATTTATTGTTGATATTTATTGTTGATATTGTTTAACAATACAAATGTATTTTCAATAAACATACTTTTGAATTTTAGATTTCCCATGACGAAAAGAATACATAATAAAAAGAGATTGAAGAAAAACCATTTGGAAGCAAGTCTAAAATATATCGAAGAACTACGGCGTTATGTGTCACTAATGTCTTCTAATAACATACAGGATATCAAAGAAATGGAATTGAATGGACTTCTGTGTTCCATAGCTCAACATTCTACAATTTATCGTTTTGTCTTACATGATATAAATAGAATTATTTCTGCACAATCATTATCATGGTAAAATTTAATAAATCAAATTTTCGGTAACATTATAAATTAATGTAAATATTACAATTAATATATAAATTTTATTTTCAGTCACAATTGGAATTGTACATTTAAATATTATTTCAACCGAATTTATCATTTGTTAAAACAGTATCGGTTAGCGTACAAGCAAATCAAATTTATACCGAAGCCAAAGGAAAAGCAACCTTTAAAAAAGCAAATTATTATTATCGCACAACATTTTCAACCAAGTGTATCTTACTCAATCATTGATACGTGGCTATATATATATATATATATATATATATATATATATACATATATATATATATACATGTGCAAATATATATTTTTTAATATTTTTAGTTGTACGGAAGATCATCAGCTGACACAATATTTTTATAAGGCGAAACCGGTGCGACGATATTTCTGGAACATTGAAAGAATAATAGGTTGGATTACGTATTCTTGATCTGTTATATAACTTATTAAGCAATTTTTTACATAGAGGTTTTTTTTACTAATCTTAGTAGGAGGTATTTAATGAAGATAATAATCAATTATATGTCTTACAAATAATACGTTAGTCAATGAATCAATATATTCTATAAGCAATAAATAAAATTTAATTTTCCTTTATTTTTTTTCTGTGATTGAAATATTGCTTATATATATATATATATCATTTTTCAGCAAATACGAAATCTGATGTTTGATCTCTATAAATTGATAAATTCTTGCACCGATCCACGAGGGAAGTATCTTACAAATGTCGTCGTTTCTTTGCATACACCTTATTATTAAATTATAATCATATTTTTTTCTTTTATTATTGTCTTCAGTTTTAGCACGCTAAAAATATATTTTAACTTGGATCATTTTAAATTATTAAAAACATATGTTTAGAAGTATAGTTTATTTACGTGTCCGTAATTTTTTTTTAAATTTGTTGTGTTGTAATGTTTTAAAATTTACTTATTATGTAATTAAGAAGAACTCTATTTTGTAACATATATGAAAACATATATGAAACGAAATTAAATAAAAATACTGTCACAATTTTTCATATTTTAATATTAAAATTTGTAATAACGTGATTGCTCAATGTTTGTCAACATCTATAACATTTATAAAGATATTTTAAAGAATTTTATAAAGATATTTTTTTTACATTCATTATATTTATTCAATATTTATTTATATAATTCTAATTAATTTTTCAATATTTATTTATATAATTCTAATTAATTTTCATAAATTGAATATTTTGGAGTGGATTTCATAATATTACAATGAATTTTTTTCTTAAAATTTTCTCTTCAAATTTTATGGTTTTTACAATATTATTAAGCCTAACCATATGCTATCAATTTTATCTATTTGTAGATTGTAAAAATCAAATATTATTTTATTCTAAAATATTTTACCAATTCAAGGAGAATCTTGATAAATTTCTTGAGAATCTTGAGAATCCTCTTTAACAATAAGAGTAAATTTTGTTTGGGTCCAGAAAACTCCTGAAATGACCTTGTTCTCTATTTTTCAATTCATATTTTTGTAGCTCATCTCAAGAGTGTTCCAAAACATTATAATAAAATATTTTTTGTTAAGTACTTTTCGAGTTTTGGGGCATGAGAGAAATATTTTCTTTATTTTACATAAACTATAAAATATCTCGTAAAATATTTATTTTTTTGATTATCTTATTTTAGTACTTGTGCACAAGTAATAAGAGAATCAATTAGTGCAAAGAAAACATAATTTTTTTTTAAATACGTAATTGTTAATTTCAAATTGCATATATTTAAAAACAATTATGTATTTTTTTACACCAATATGTATTTTTTTACACCAATTAATTTCTCACATTATTTTGTGCGTAAAAATATTGAGGTTAGATGATCGAAAAATTAATATTTTACGATATATTTTATGGTTTATGTAAAATTAAAAAATTATTTCAAGTCTCATAACTCGAAAAATACTTAATGAAAAAATAATTTATTCTAGTGTTTTGGAAAGAGCTTTCGAGATAGATGCAAGAATATGTAATAAAAAATATAGAGTTCGATTTAATAAAACAAAGTTCAATTGCACATGACCTCGACACATTCACTCAAAATCAAACCAATGTCACCATCAGATGTCCCCCTCCGAATTTTGCAAATTTTGTCTGAAATATTTTTTCATCGGACCACTTTCTGCGATGTTAATCAGGGTGCATAATTAAAATAACACACCCTGTATATATGTAATTAAGAAATACGATATATGTGTTTATTTTGAAAAATAAATTTTGTCTATAATTTATTGCTGATGTTTGTTGTTTAACACATTTTTGCAAAATATTCCTTTCATTTTAGCGTTTCTTTGTCGAAAAGAATACAGCACAAAGACAAATTGGAGACATTTGTTAACTGTTTAGAAGCATGTGTAAAATGTAAGGCAGCACTATCGTATTATGTGTAACTAATGTAATCTTACAATAACTTACAGAATATCAAAAAAATGGAATTGAATTGATTTCTGTTTTCTATAGCTAAACATTCTACAATTTATTCTATAATTTATAGTTTTGTTCTCGATGATATAGAATTATTTCTGGACAATTATCATGGTAAAATTTAATAAACCAAATTGCCACTAACATTATAAATTAATGTAAATATTACAATTAATATATAAATTCTTTTTTCAGACACGATTCCAATTTTACACCTGAATACTATTTCGGCCTAATTTATCAATGGTTAAAACAGTATCGGTTAGCGTACAAGCAAATCAAATTTATATACATGCCAAAGGAAAAGCTGCTTTTAGAGAAGCAAATTACTATTATCCCACATTGTTTTCGACCACATGTATCTTACTCAACCGATGATTAAATGATGTGGGGCTGAATAGCTCAGTTGTAAGAGCAGTCGCTCGGCAAGCGAAAAACTCGGATTCTATTCCCGATTCAGCGACTTCGTCCCGATATTTTTCTCATCTACATCTCTTCAGGCAGGTAAAGAGGGATTTTTATATAGAATTTTCAAAAATGAGAATCTATATCTTGGTAAATGCACCAAGTAAAATATATGCATATACCTTGTGCACGTTCTAATTTTCGCGAATAATTAATCTTATCATTTCCTTGAAACACCTGCGAAATATTTTACATGCATACTTCATTAAAAAATGTATATAGTTTAATGTCTGTATGTAGTGTTTAATGTGTGTAGTTTAATGTAAGTAATATTATATTTTACTTCATATTAAATAATTCAACGAAAAATGTATAATAAAGTACATGTTTGTCGTCTCATCTAAATTTTACATTACTTATAATTTATTATAAAAATTCATGTAATTTATAACTTTATTAGCAAATACATCTCTGTTTTGATGATCCATAAATTAATTTGAAACATGGCTTGAAAAAATTAATTTTTACCTTTCCGAATGCGCCGCTACCAAGAAGTTTTGTAAATGTAATTTGTTTACGTGCGACTTCAGTTATCGCACATTCATCCGGGTTATAATGTAACATAGGACTGTAAATCATATTGAATTGAGTGTTTCGGCAAGGTACTTCATGTACAATTGCCAATTCTGTATCGTTCATTGTTGAAGACAAAAATTGTTCATTATGACCTCTGCGTTGACGATACACTGTTATAAAATTCGACTTAATTATGTAATAATATGTATTATAAAATTTACGGTGTTTTTTAGTAAATTTATTTGTTTAGTTATATAAGTAAATTATTATTTTCAGGAAATTTTTAGATATTATATCAGATATACATGTATAATCTACAATTCAGAGGTTGATATCTAAGTAAAATATACAATACTTACAACGATAAAAGCAGTAGACGCAGATTATAGTAACTATAACGATAAAACTTAACATCAATGGTAGATAATATTTATAATATTTTGTTTCTGTTATTCCAGGAGTATTCGAAATATCATCTATATTACGCAAAAATATAATTTTAATATTTTCGTGTGTGCGTTTTATTTAAAAATTTATTTCTACTAATAACGTTATTATAAATCAATTAATAATAAATTAATAATAAATTAATAAATTAATTTTTTAAATTTTGTAAGTCTGTTCATATATAAAAAACTAAGCATATAATATAACATCCATACACCACAAAATATTACAGCTACTTTGCAACAATGTTGCAATATTACAAATTGCAATGTCACATTGCGGAAACGTTGTAAAAATATAAATCAACAAAATATGAATTAGACATTAGCAATATGATATTTATATTTTACAAACATTTTAAGAAAACTATAACACTCTTTAACTTTTTCGCACTTCCGGCTTTCCAAAAAAAGATACGTTTGATATGAAACAATTTTATAGTTCTTGATTGTAAATTTACTATTAAAATTTAAATTCATAATGACAGATTCAAAATGATTGCCATGAAAAGCTGAAATATCGATATATTTATAATATTTCAGATTGGATTTTATTTTTTTAGATATATGTTACGTTTTTTCTCGAAAATGCACACACACTTGACTCACGGTGTTGTTATACTTTTTTAAAGATATATTTTTTACATATTTTTTAAATTACACTAATAGGATAGGTAATATTTTATCTAACATTATAATTTTTTATTTTCATTTTTCGATGCATTTTTATCTATATTTCACATACAAGTATATGTAACTGTATTTTTTTAATTTTTCAAATAAAATTATAATTAGTTATAAATGTATAATTAATTCCAATTAATGTTTATATATTTGTATCCCATTATAACAGTATAGAACATTCAAAATAAAAAAGTGATTTGTATAAGTAAAAGTTTAAAGTAATTTTATATCCAAAGTATAATATTCTATATTTTAGTTATATGATTATGTTTAAATACTATATTAGTATGTATATATATATATATATATATTGTAATATTTAGCATTAATATTTAGCGGACTTAGCACCTTTTATACCTTTTTCTTAAAGGGGTAATTTTTTTAGGGATTATTAGAACTCGAGGGATATATGAATTCTATAAGTTATTTTTTTTATATTATATTGAATTGTAATAATATTTTGTTGCACTTCACAAATTATGTATCATATCTTGTAAGTGTTAAATATAATTCTTATAATATATAATAAAATTTGATAATAGATTTTATTTGCGAAGAAAGTCTATTGCCTATTATATATAACAGCGTAACTAGAAGACTTTGGGTATGTTGCTTTCTGAGTTACGAGGACAACTTTATAATGGCAATCATATGGAAACTAAATTGGCCAGTAACAATTTTAGCTGCAAAGCTTTTCAACCTATCTGATGTATGTATATATATATATATAAATGCGTGTCGGTATAATTAGAGTCGCTGGAAAAAATTATAATTGAAAATTTTTATCGTATAGTTTATACTGTATAAAGCCGAGCTGCGAATATTGACATTATATTACTTCGACGGTTCTTCGCAGTTTCTTGTATATTTCGCGATCGTATATGATTCATTCGTTTATCTAATTTTTCTTAAATTTTTAATTATAATAAATATAATATAATACTATAACAAATATAAAATCAATAAAATTAAGAGCCAAAAAATGTCCATACGATTGTAACTCTAATAAGAAAAATATGATCTCTCTCTCTCTCTCTCTCTCTTTCTCTCGTTTTTGCTCAGCGTATATATATAAATAACGATGAAAAAAGTAAAAAATTTCATTAAAATAACATTGGAATAAGACCGTAAAATTATACATCTCAAAAAGGGAAAAAAGATTGTCCAGAAATTCTTTCCAAAGAATTTGTCATACGTACCTGCTGCTATGGCCTAACTTTTTTGACCAGGAATCAGGACGGAGATGTCCTTTTTGTTCTGATGGTAAAGCACATGATGTGAATCATTTCTAAAGAAAACGCACCTTTAGTCTGAACCTGAACGTGCAACATTCAACGAAATGCATGCGACGTGCATAGACGTGTTATAAGTAGGAGCAAAATTTGTGCGCACATATTCGTATATATATCGTATATAAGTATATAAACGAAATTAATGGTGCGAAAATAAATAATATCGGTTGCAAGATATTTTGTGAACCATTGCATTTTTTACGATGGCTACGGTAACACATTTGCCAGATGAAATAATTGCTACAATTTTGAAAAATAAGAATATTAGCATGGAGGATATCATAAATCTTAAATCCACATGTAAGAGATTGCAGCATATAACATTTAGCACCAAATTTTGGGAAAAAAAACTTTTTCAGAGGTATGATTTTAAATATTTTTTTATTAATTTTTTTATGTGTTTATTTCATATTTGGACGAATTTCTTCGCTCAACAAACTTTCGTGAAAGTAATAATGAAAAAGTAAAATTAATGTTATTACTTTGTTATCTTATTAATTTATATTGCGTTTTCTACTTTGTTGAGTTTTCCACTATATTGAGTTTCTAATGTTACAATTCAAGTCGATCGTAATAATGAATCTAAATTTATTAAACCCAAAATTTTACGTCTAGAGCCTCTACAAGTCGTAATAAATTCTATTAATCATTTCCAAGTAGCTCCATTGATAAAGATAGTTTACTATTCTTCAAAATATATAACTTATTGTTATCGTAGATTATAATTTCATCGTTTCCTTGCATAGACTTTATTAGTAAATTATAATCATATTCTCTTCTCTTATTATCGTCTTCGGTTATAGCACGCTAAAAATATATTTTGACTTGGATTATTTTAAATTATTAAAAATATATGTTTAAAAATACAGTTTATTTATGTGTTTAGTAATTTTTTTAATATTTTACAATTATCTTATTATGTAATTAAGAAATATATTTTATAACATAAAACATATATGAAACGAAATTAAATAAAAGTACTGTCACAATTTTTCATATTATAATATTAAAATTTGTAATAACGTAATTATCAATGTTGGTCTATATTAATATCTCTAAAGATATTTTTTTTACATTCATTTATTTCAAGGAATTCTTTTATATTTCAATATTTATTTATATAATATTCTAATTATGTTTCATAAATTGAATATTTTGGAATGAAACTTATAATGGAACTTATAATATTACAAGAATTTTATTCTTAAAATTTTATTCAAATTTCATGGTTTTTACAATGTTATAAAATTTAACCATATGCAATCAATTTTATCTATTTGTAGATTGTACAAATCAAATACTATTTTATTCTAAAATATTTTATTATAAAACATTAAAAAAAATATAAAATTATTTTTACATTAATATGGCTTGCGTATATTTAAATATCTCCATACAATTATTTTCCATTTGATTTCTTATTTAAACATGATATAAAAAAAATTAAATTAAATAATGCGAGATTTTGTCGCAGCAGGTGTATCTCGATATTAAAATTTGATAATTATGTAGATATAGAGGGCCATTTCCGATTTCAATAATTTTCACATATGTTGTCAAGGTCAATACTCTCACTAATGTTATAACGGTTTTAGCTCGCGCTAGTTGTTTATTAAGTTGTCAACAAAAAGTGTTTAATGATTTTAGAACATAATTTTACGCCATACAACGATTATATAACGTAATTCAAACTGAATTGTAGCTTTTAATTAGAAATAAATTTGAGTTGATTTTATATCTTTCTGAAATAGTGTCTCACCGTAGAGGAGAGAGAGGGCGAAACTCACTGTGTTCACGCATGTACTTTAAAAAACAAAATAAAATTTATTCTTATTGTTAGCAAGGATCAAGATTATACAATATATATGGTGCCCAAAAATCATTAAATTAAATATTATTAAATATATTTTCGATAAAGGTTATAGGATTCAGAAGAGGACATTTGTGATAATGACCTTGAGTGAACGTGCCGAGATCATATTGAGCTCAATCTTGTTTCTTGAAAACCCTATGAGGTCCAGAAAACTCGATAAATGACCTTGCTCTCTATTTTGTATTTTATATTCTTGTAGCTCATCTCGAGGGCTTTCCAAAATACTATAATAAAATATCATTAATTATGTCTTTTCTTTACACTAATATAATATAAATAACTCGAAAAATATTTAACAAAAAATTTTTTATTATAGTGTTTTGGAAAACACTCTTGATATATGTGCAAGAATATATAATAAAAAATATAAACCAATTTGATGTTCTCTCCAAACCATACAACATTTGTCTAAAATAAATTTTTGTCTAAAATATTTTTTCATCCGACCACCTTCTGCGATGTTAATCCGGGTGCACAATTAAAATACATCCTGTATATATGTATAATTAAAAAATGTAATATATATATATATTTATTTTGAAAAATAAAAATTGTCTATAATTTCCTGATATTTGTTGTTTAACATATTTTTAAAAAACATACTTTTGAATTTTAGATTTCCCTTGTCGAAAAGAATACATAACAAAAAGAGATTGAAGAAAAATGTTAACCATTTGGAAGCAGGTCTAAAATGTATCGAAGAACTACAGCATTATGTGTTACTAATGTCTTCTAATAACATACAGGATATCAAAGTAATGGAATTGAATGGACTTCTGTGTTCCATAGCTGAAAATTCTACAATTTATCGTTTTGTCTTAAATGATATAAATAGAATTATTTCTGCACAATTATCATGATAAAATTTAATAAACCAAATTTTATGCAACATTATAAATTATTGTAAATATTACAATTAATATATAAATTTTATTTTCAGTCACAATTCGAATTTGACAGTTAAATATTATTTCGACCTAATTTATCATTTGTTAAAACAGTATCGATTCGCGTATAAGCAAATCAAATTTATACACATGCCAAAAGAAAAGAAACTTTTAGAAAAGCAAATTACTATTATCGCACAATATTTACAACCAAGTGTATCTTACTCAATCATTGATACATGGCTAGATGATATTGTACAAGAAGTATTATCTCGCCTTGAAAATAAATATCCTACACATTCTATATTCTTGACGTCTTCTGAGCAATTTACTTTATGGAGAAATAACAATATCAACGATCACTTCTGGAATCAGACAGAAGCCGAAGAAATTATGTGTATTCTTAAAGAAATTATATTTTCTAATTTAGGTGTTCATCAATTATTGGTAACATTAGAACTCGAGGAATATATGAATTTTGTAAGTTATTTTTTTTATATTATATTAAATTGTAATAATACTTTGTTATGCACTTCACAAATTATGTATCATATCTTGTAAATGTTAAATATAATTTTTCTCTAATAAAATTTGATGATATAGATGTTATTTTTCGAAGAAAATCTATTGTCTATTATATATAATAGCGTAGCTACCCAATCAGAAATGATTTGTCGAAAAGACGTTGTTTCGACATCGAAAATGAAGATCGAAAAATTTCGAAATTTCTATTGATTTCGATGAATTTTTGACTCCAATTTCGATTGATTTTCGACGTCGAAATAGAAACTCGAATCGATCTTTTTAATCCAATATTGAGAAATCTTGTAATTTATTTAAAAGAAATAAGAATAAAATATAAATAAAAAAGTTCATTAATTTATATAATTTATAACAGTAGTAATAACACTACTGTGAAAATTTTGAATCAATAAAATAGACGTAAAGAAATGATTGAAAAAAGTCAATTAATTTATATGTATATCATTAATTTTTTTATATTATTAAATTTAAACTTATATATATATAAATTTAAATTAAAAAATTAATGATGAGATATATATATATATATATATATATATATATATATATATATATAAATGATTACTTTTTTATTCAATCATTTCTTTACGTATATTAATTCAAAATTTTTCAGAGTGTTACTATTGTCATAGTAATTATATAAATGGATGAATCTTTTTATTTATATTTTGTTCTTATTTCTATATGTGAATATATATATATATATATATATATATATATATATTACAATAGGCTACAATACTACAATATTTTAATTTGATTACATAATTATCTATATATATCGTATATCTTTAGGAAGGAAAGACATTTCGATTTTTACATATAATAATAAAAAAGGAGATAAAATATATGAATTCTACAATAATGGTAAGTTTTATAAATAGTGAATACATATATTGATAATACATATAACATTATTGCTATTATCATTATTTTTATTATAAATGTTTGTCAAAAGAATATGTTAATATTTACCAACTAGAATTTATAAAAAAAGTCGGTACTTTGTATGCCAAAGTGTGTATATATTATGTATATATTATGTATATATTATGTATATACATGTACATATATATATATATATATATATATATATTATTATCTTTGGAAATATCGCTTAGAATATTTAAATGTTTTAACAATATCAAGATCTCTCTATACGCTTCCTAAACTAAAATATTATACATACACAACCATTTATCTAACTCTGATACATGAAAATAAAAATAACCATAAGAGAGCCCCAATATAATTAACATAATAATATAATGTAAAAATATAAAGCGTTTTTTAAATAAAATAATCACATTTTCTTTAAAGAGTTGTATAAAACGTAATCTTATCAAAGACTCTGCCATAAAATAACAACAATCACATTTTCTTTAAAGTATAAAAATAATCTTATCAAAGCACAAATAATCCCATACTGTTCTGTGCAAAATGCTTATGCAAGAAAAGTTGATATATTCATGAACCCATATATAAGTAATTAAACATTTGATATATTATTTATAGAAACACTACTCTTGTTCAGTCGTAATTTTAAGATTTTTTCTTCCTATTTCCCAAACTGCCGTCACACTGCTTGCGCCATTTTGCATCTTTTAACCACCCAGCCAAAGCTGCATTTGCTTCAGTAAGATCACTATTCGAAAAAGTTATTTGAAGAGTTCCTAGAACAAGACATGTACATATATAAATATCAAACATTTTGCATCTTTTTGCATAAAAATAATAAAAAATCCAACGTATTAATGTAAATAATTACCTTGAAACAAATCATAAAGTTTAAGCGATTTGAAAGCAATTTTCCCATTACCTCCGTCACAATTTATTTCACTTGCCAGTGTATTAGAGAGTAATTTTGTTAGCATATTTGTTGCGCTTTTCCTTTCGGGATTCTTCACGCTTAACATCATATAATTAGACATGTAATGACACTGTACGAGAAATAATGAAATATTAGTAAGCACATATAGAAGGAAATTTTCTTTCAAAAAATCAAAGAGAAATTATTTATTTACAGCAGCAGCTAAATTATGATCCGCTTCCAAGAATTTGTTAAATTCTTCTAAATCTTGTTTTGTGTTAAGCGGTAATGCTGGCATTTTTTCAGGACGCGAAATTCTCTTTTCTGAAGGTATTATAACTCTCATGAGCTTGCTCATGTTCATGTTGAGAATATCTAGCTTTCCAGAAACTTCTTCTACTATAACAAGTGTTCTGTCAAGTTTCGTTTTGAATAAGCTTAATGTCTCCTCTGCAATAAACATAGTAGAAAAATTAGAATCACTAAAAGCAAATATTGGTTTTACACTCATATCGCAACAAAATTACCTTTGTTCTTATGCAACTGCTCTTTAAATGTTGTTCGTCCGTATGTACGATGGGAAGTGCTTGAATTAGATAATTTTGATGAATGTTCGCAGTTTGAGTCACTGCTGATGTTCTTAGAATTACGATTAAAATTATCGGTTGTCATAGAATCTTGCGTTGAAGTTGGATGAATAAACAAATTGTCTTCAGGTATTGTATTTTGCATCGGTGATTGTACATTTGAAAAAAGATTTTCTTCTTCTTGAACAACACTTGTATCAGAATTAGCAGGACTATTTGTAAACAGTGAATTGAAAGAAGTTGGAGAAGATATTGACACAGATGATGACACAGGTTTTAATGGACTTTTTATAGTCTTGCTTAATGAGGTTAATAATTCTGGCCTTTTCATTTTCGAGGCCGCAATTTCTTTTGCTATTTGAATTTCTTTTCCTGTCAAGTTCACGTTAGAATGTTTAGAGAATGGCCTTTTTGTTTTTACCCTTTTATTTACGTTTGTTTCTTCAAACTTTTCTTCTTGAAGTTTTTCAACCTCACTTAACTTAATAGTAGAGGAAGCAGAAACATTCCTCTTCATCAGTTTTGAAGAAGTATTGGAATTTGAATCACTATCACAGTGTTGAGTGTTGGAGAAAGCTTTCTTGAGAAACACAGGAGGAGGAGCAGGAATAATTTTCGTCGTTAATTTTAATGAGACATTAGAATTAGAATCACTGTCTGATGATGTAATTTGTCGACTCTTTTTCCTCCTTTTCCCTCGACCCATGTATTGCTCTATCTCAGTTTCATAATTAGAATCAGCAAGGAATCCAGAAATAGCTGCACGGGCTTTTGGATAAGTATCTAGAAAAATTGTTGAAGTATTTTAATGTGGGTGTATATATATATATAAAAGTGTGAGTTCACAAAAAAATAAAATAAAATTTTACTGTAAAATCTCTTCACTTCCACATCGTGTTTTGGCCAATTAGTTTTAAAAGATTCTTCGGTTTTTACTAGTTGTGTTACAGAGTTTGAATTAGGGGGCCAATATGTTTTTCCGCACATTTCATCATCAAGATCTGTGCAAATCCACTTTCTTAAACCAACATCAAAATATGTATCTGAATCCTTATTTGTTGGCAAAAATTTTAATACAACAAACTGTGAAACAGAAAATAAGAAGTATAAATATATTACGTTCTATAAATGTTTAAATTATTTATGTTTCTAAAATGTTTAGATTATATATATTAATTCATGTAATGTGCTGCATGTGCTTTTTTCATTAAGGGAATAGTGTGAAGTAACGGCACACACAACCAAGTTTCTTGATTTGGAATCAAGTAGCACTTGCATTCTATATCATTGAGAGGATATGCTATTCTCCTCTCCTCAAGCTGAAAAACACAGATAATGCCTAGTTCAGAAGAGGGAAGTGGATATGTATAAAAGTCTTCCTGTTTTTGAAACTTACAACCAACAAAAAATAGAGTTCGATGTCTATAAACAATATTTTTTAGCAAAACAACATTATCATTTGATGTTTTAAAACAAGAGTTCTTTGTACCTATTCTGAAGCATATATTATCAATGATAACTTTACGATATTGTGAGCCACGAATAATTTCATTTGCAATAAAGTGTTTTAAAGAGAGTACAAACTGATTAGGCTTAGAATCCAGAATAATTTTAATTTTTTCCTTTCCTAGATCACGTCTAGCTATCTGCTGCAACGGTTTATAGCATGACATCAGGGAATCTTTAATTGACTTTAGACGATTTTCATAACGAAAGGCACTAAAATTATCCATAGTACCATGCTCTTGACATTCCTTACTTAAGTGACTGAGTGAGTGCACATTATACACTACAAAACTCTTTCCATAAATAACTACTGAATGAGAGATAAAAGTTCTGATGAATTGCTCAGCAAAGTGAAGATGAGTGCGAATAAGAGTAGAACTAGACAAAATGTATGCAGCGCTGTGTAGAAGAAGAAAATGTTTATAGATATTATGATGAATTAAATTCTTGAAAGCAACGATGCCGTCATATAAAAGTATGCGACGAAATTCAGTGGCCTTGAATAGTTTAAAATCGTTTAGAGATCTTGGCTTTCGATTAAAATCTTGGGGACAGAATTCTTTAAGAAACACAAAAACTTCAGATATAAGATTAATAATATCTCCATGCAGTTTCCATGCTCCAACCACAAACAACCAAAAATGAAGTAATCTTTTAAACACACCAATATATAGAAGGTGCATTGGATCAAGACGAAATTGCGATACAAGCCCAGTTCCTAATCTTTCAAGTGGTGACGTTCCTTCGTGATGTTGAGGTTGCTCGCGATTTCTGAAAGATTCATCTGTACGGAGAGGTTGATTAAGGTCTATGAAAGTAATCCTGTGGTTATTGTATTCTCCAATGACGGTGCACTTCTCACAAGCTGCGTAACCTGAATGTCCCTTACAACATTTAATAAATGCTCTTGCAGGAGCGTCTAAAATATAATTTCTAATTATAACTTCATAATTGTTGCTCTCATATTTATAGCCATTATGAAATAAATCTTCTAATTCAGTTACATATTTTTCTAGATATTCTTCAATATTCTGAGGATCACTTTTTCCACAGTAAATGGCAATAATAAAAGGTTCATTTAGAGTCCCAACAAGATGCCCTAAAATTGGCCAAAATTTAAGTTTGGAACTTTTAAAGAGCGGCAAACCATCAATATTAATATCAATTATAATCTTTTTATGAACTTGCAAATAATCTTGTAATAACATCTGATCCAAGTTAGCTCTAACACCTTTGTACCAATATTCCTCTCCATTTTGACAGATATTTATTTCTGGATTAATATTACTTTTCAAAAGTGTTTTGTAACTTTTAGGCATATTAGGGAAACCAACACTGAGACGTTTTAATAAATTATCGACTTTTAACATAGAAAGGACACCTGATTCAGAAGTCCACGCTCGAAGTGATTCAATAACAAATTGTTCTATTTGAGCAACATTTTTAAAAACCATCGTATTCTCATTTTCGACTTCACTTCTATCAGACTGTGGATTCTCACTCAATTCACTCTGTGAATCAGACACAATATGTTCAGCAACCAGTTCAACTTGTACAGATGTATCACTATTATTACTTTCTTCAGGAACATCACAATAGCATTCATCATTAGCAACATCTGACAACACTAAATTTTCTTCAATATTTGATGATATCTCTGAACTATTATCCGAAGATTGTACATATATCTTATTGATTTTCATTTGCAATTCATCGGCTTCAAGTTTTTTCATGACAGCTTTTGCAGCTCTTCTACGCAATTTTCTTTTCATAGGCTTAGAAACAATCTTAGATAGTGACAAATTATAAAAAATGAATTTAATAACACTTCATTAAGAAATACTAATAGATATAACATTATATATTTATAGTATTATAACTAACTAAAATATTAAAATAAATAAAAAAAATATAAAAAAAACAAGAGTTAATATCTCTTATATTACACTCGACTAAGACCCCTATGCACAATAGAGAAAATATTAAGAATATGAATAAATATTAAGCATTAAGCTTACTGCACAATACAAAAGTGTAATTAAGCAATAGGAATAAAAAATAGAAAATATTCATCAATAGAAGCAGGGAATATCTATTGTTCCTTAATATCTATCTGCTTCTGTTAATGGAAATTTATTCTCTATTCTTATTGTGTATACTTTTGTATTGTGCAGTAGGCCTATCTAATGATTAATATTTATTCTTATTCCTAATATTTTCTCTACACTGTGCGCAAAGTCTAAGAAAATTACTAATAAAAAATAATAGCCTAACCTAAAAATAGTAATTTACAAAACTTACCGGATTTTCTTCCATTGTGTGCTAATAAATGACTTTGTTATAATTGCTTGTTATAACAGTAAATCACTATGCCACACACTAATAAATAATGTAACAAAATCCTGGTTAGAATGTTTTATCAGAAAAAATAAATTTCTTTTCCTATAATTTCACTGAGTAACACAAAGGCAAACGGAAGGCGGGAAGACGTATCATCGTAGGCGCGCGCATACTGTTATGTGCACCATGCGCATATATGGATCACGTGCACAATATTTTACCAATCAGATGCTTTCCTAAATCGACATCGTTTCGATGTCGTTTCAACATTCAATTTCTCCTATATTTATAATGATGTCGAAATGATATCAAAACGATATCGTTTCGATCCCTATATAATAAAAAATAAAAGAGAGAGAATATCAAATTATATATAAAATATATTTACCTAAAATATCAAAAATTGCATGAAACTTCCAATAAACTTTTCATAAACGCACTTTTATGTTGCTCACAAAATTCAAAATTTCGACGCAAATTTCGAATCGACATCTTTTCGATATGAACGACGTTCAATCGATATCATTTCGATGAATCATTTCTGACTGGGTAGAAGACTTGGTATATGTTGCTTTCTGAGTTATAAGGATAACTTTACAATGGCAAACATATGGAAACTAAATTGGTTAGTAACAAGTTTTAGCTGCAAAGCTTTTCAACCTATCTGATATATATATATATATATATATATATATATATATATGTATATACATTTGCAAATAATTATTTTTTAATATTTTTAGTTGTACAAAAGGTTATCAGCCGACAGAATATTTTTATAAGAAGAAATCGTGGCTACCATATCCCGAGAACATTGAAAGAATAATATATGGCGTTACGTATCCACTGGATCTGTTATATAACTTATTAGTAAGCAATTTTTTATGTAGAGGTTTTTTTTACTAATCTTAGTAGGAGATATTTAATGAAGATAATTATCAATTATAAGTTTTACAAATAATATGTTAATCAATGAATCAATATATTCTATAAGCAATAAATAAAATTTAATTTTTTTTTATTTTTATTCTGTAATTGATATATTGCTTATATATATATCTATCATTTTTCAGCAAATACGAAATCTAATATTAGATCTCTACAAATTCAAAAATCCTTGCATTGAACCACAATTGCAGCAAGTATCTTACAAACGGAAAATGATGTACATGTTGCATTTTTTATTACGCAGCTTAAGCGATAATACTAAAAATATAGATATAGATTATGAATACACATATATTACACGTTCAATAAAGGTAATGTATAACATATGTGCATAGCATGATTGTTCGTATCAAAACAAACAATTTTTTCCTCTGGCAAAATTGCGTCTGAACATTACTTTTTAAATAAAGACAACTTTAAATTAACAAATAAGCGCTTTAGATTACACTTGAATCAGGGGCAGGCGCGCACAGCGTATGTTGCATTTGAGCGTGTATGCTATTTTAATATTTCGCCAAAGGTTTTTCAAGAATTATATTGCATGACATCTAAATATTATTTTCAATATAACGTATTTAATATTAGGAGATTTTTTAAATTCATATCATCGAAGCAACAAATCTGAAAATAAAATAAGTATATTATATAACACGCGAATAATTTTGATCCAAAGTTATTGCTTAAACATTCTAAATATTTTTTTATTCTCCAAAGGGCCGGTTAAATAAACATATTCATATTCATATTCATATTTACAGAACAAATATGTGTATACAAATGGATGGTTTGTATTTCGAATATATGTTTTAAAATCGTGTTGTATTGGAAGTAATGGTATTAGAGATCATGCATAAGTCTTGTAAAACCTTTGGCGAAATAGTAAAATAGCGTACACGCTGAAATATATCGCATATGTCGTGGTGCCCCTGATTCAATTGTATAATCTGAAGTATAATCTTTATTCGTTATCTTAAAGTTGCTTTCATTCAAAAAGTAATGTTCAGACGCAATTTTGCTAGAGGAAGAAATTGTTTGTTTTAATACGAACAATCATACTGCATTCTCCATTCGCGAATTTTAGTACATTCTGTATACGTATACATATATATACAGAGTCTTGAAAATGTCCCAGAACGCCAAAATATCTTGAAAACTAAGTATTACAGAAAAAAATGCTTCAGGTAAAAGTTGTAGTATTTCAAAATCTATTTATTAGCGCTATGAGTTTAACCTTGGATGGCGTCACCAACGTCAGAGAAAGGTCACCTAGAATTTTTTAAATAAAACTTTTTTATTCTATATTTTTGTAGCTTATCTCGAAAGCTTTCTAAAATACTCTAATAAAGTATTTTTTCATTAAGTACGTTTCGAGTTGTGAGGCTTAAAATAATATCTTAATTTCACATAAACCATATCTAGTAAAATATCTAGTAAAATATTCATTTCTTGATTATCTTACCTTATTATCTTTTATGTACAAAATAATGAGAGAAATTAATTGGTGTAAAGAAAACACATAATTGTTTCGAAGAAAAAATATGTAATTTGCAATTAACAATTACATATTTTTTCTTGAAAACAACTGTGATTTGGAAAACTCTCGAGATAAGCTACAAGAATATGCAATAAAAAATGGAGGTTTTTGATTAAAAAATTCAATGTCACCTTGATTAAATTTTATTACATATTATATACACACTTTTGTTATGTTTATATAGGATGGATCTGACATCGTCATAAATGAACATTTAGGAGTAAGAAAGAAAGAAATTAAATTTACTATTGGTATGATCGTAACACACTTATCAGGCGTGTGTGCGTTTGGATTTGAACCTCACGATGGCGTGATAATTGGTTGGCATTACCAATGTGCATTCGTACATAACAATTTGAATTCTTTAGATCCTCTGAGCGAAAAACAGCACAGTCAGCATTTATGTAGTTATCATACTTGCGAATCAGACAATTCCAGATTTACCTGTCAACCGCACTATATAATCTTGCAGAAAATAATATGATGTGTTACGTACCACAAGGTACATATGAAATATTAATAGCATTCTCTTTTATAAATTATATATATTTTATATAATTTTTCATCTTTTTAAACACACACAATATAAAAAGTATATTTCTTTTTATTTTAGATATGGTATCAAAATGTTCACCAAAGTGGATTAATAATGTAGAAATAGGGCGATATTTTACTAAATTTGAAGGCAATTATTACGTACCGAATAAATACTTGGCAAGGAATTATCCAGCTGATATCGCTGTGATGCATGAAATATTTTATAATCAGTAGTGTGTATAATAATATCCATTATACACACACACACACACACACACACACACACACACACACACACACACACACACACGTGTGTGTGAGAACACATTTCAACTAGTCAAACTTTTTTATTGATGAATTAACTTGAATTTTCATAACAGTATCCACTACATTAATTTATCCCAATTTCGATTCAATAATTCTCAATTTAGCGCTCGTTATGAGCAATGTATTACAGAATTTAAGAATATAAACAAGAATATAAACTTTATCAATCTCATATTATGTATTAAACTTAAGCATATGCGTGTCTCCTACAGGGTATTCTATACAAACTATCAGAAAAAGATCGGGAAATATTTTGAAAAACGTAAAGGTTGTAAACAAATATTTAATAAACAAAAGAAAGATTTAAAAAAGATTGTAAGGTTAATTGTAAGGTAAAAAAATTTATTTCCTCAGTTTGATCTTTATACTTAGGTCAAGACAAAATTTTTTATCATGCATTTTTTAAACTAAATCCCTTATTTTTAATTACCTAGTCTTCTTTAAGACTTTTATAAAATACTATCCCAATAAAAGAAGATAAAAAATATGAAGATAGATTAAATAAGCCATGTATGTACATCAAAATTGTGCCAACAAGTAAAATAAAAAAGCTTAAAAAATTGTTTATCGTTAATGCTTAGAAAATAATGTCCTATAATTAGAAACTAAAAATTAAATACTTTTCTCTTAAATAACATTCTGTGAAAAGTAAAGTATTAAAATTAAATATTATAATTTAAATTAATAATTATAACTAGCCATGTACTTAGAAGCAATTTAATTTGTGAGGGTTTATAATTTATAAATAAGATTGATTTTATGGCAAATAACAGAAATATTTACCATAAAATCAATCTTATTCATAAACATATTTTACATAAATTTTCATTATAAAATTAAAACACACTTTATTTTTATTAAAAACAACTTGTTTTTAAAATAAATTTTATTTCTGTATGATAAACATTTTTCATGATTTATAAAATAGCATTATTATGTTATTTTTATTTAAGTAGTAAAGATTATTTAACTCTTACTTTACTACAAATTAAAATTTAAAAGAATTTAAAAGTGCCCTTTGTCAAATTGATCGAAATATTTGAAATTGTTATTAAAATAATTATAAGGTTTGTCAAGTAAGTTTGGGACTAAAGAAATTAAAACCAAAGTAAGTACAGAAACTTGACATGGCCTGGTCGCAACTCATATATTTTTACATATTAACATATTGATAATATCTGACAGTAATTTGCGAATTTTAATATCACATATATAATTCGTGAATCTTGATTTTAAATATTTATAATAGTCATTAATAAAAATTTATGAGTTATAATTCAGAAACGCCAAGTTTTTATATGTCTTTAGTCTTAACTTGTTTAGTCCAGGGCCTAATTTCAAAACAACAATTTTAAATATTTCAAACAATTTAGCACAGAATACCGTTAAATTCAAAATTAACAATCAATGGCGCATTAAAGGTTAAATAAAGTTATAATTTGCAACAAAATCTATAATCTAATAATGATATGTTATATATTATATTTGCAAAATAGTGTATTATTAACTGTAAAAAACTACTGTATTGTATATCCTACAAAAATAATGATATCAAAAAAGTTGCGCTAAGTGAAAATAAAAGCTTATAAAAATACTTTAACCAAAAAAAGTTATACAAAATAGCTGATTTAATTTTCTACATTATATCTTAGAA